CGACATGACTTGTAGATGAAAATCTGTCATTACAATCATATATAGAACTACAAGGCTGAGGACTGTGTGCAGTTGTGTGAAGCAGCACGTGGCACCACTGGGATGCAAAGATTAGAGCCCACAGAAAAGAAAAGAAAGACAAAATATTCTCTACAAAGGGGTTTTTTGGGGTGGTTTGGATGTATTTGTATGACAAAAGCTGTTGCTTAAGATTTTGCTGTGAACTGAGATATTCTGATTAATTCTTGATGCTGTTTTGCTCACTTCAGAGAGATGAAGTGCAATCCATTAGCAAGCTGCATGGGTCAGCCCCGAGTGATGCTCAAAGCCAGAGCAAAACAAGGGGCAGCTAGGGAAAGAAATCAGACAAATGGATTAGTTTAAAATGCGCTGTGCTACCCAGCAATACTTAAAATCATTAACCGTGCGTATGAATATTTATATATGAGTCAGAAAGCAACTAGCTAATCTACTGCTTTCTCCTTTAGAATGGGAACCTGAACTGTTCACAGCAGTATTTTAGAAATTTATTATTATTAACCTGTTCCTCTACCCAGACAGAGTTTTATTCTCTTGCTTTAAAGAAAACCACAAAAACAATTGTTCGTTACCAATGCAAGGCACATTTCCCAACTGGAAAAAAAAGAGCTGTATCTAAGCTTTAGAAAGTTTAATGGGCTTAAATTTAAAATAGTCACTTTCTTGGTATGATGGGAGAGGACAGTGCTTATAACAGTCCTCCAAAAGCACTTTCATGAACATGTCATAATCTGAAATTTTGCAGCATTATTTCCCCTTTGTCTTCCTCCCAGAATTTATTTTGAAGGCTGAATTACATTTTCAATTATATCCTTGTAAATGATCTTGGAAAAACTGAATTCTTAGGAAATTTACAAACACAGACTGATTTTTCTTGATATTCCAGTAGAATAGCTACAGGAACTCGTTTCTGTGCCATCACATTTTTTAAAAGATATCTGATGAGTGTTTGCTGGATGTAACACAGGATAGAAGAGATGAGATATTGGTGGTACAGGATGTCTGGTAGTAAGAAAGGGCATTTAATTGAGGACTGTATAATACAACATACAACCCAAAAAGCTCATACCTGTCCAGAAGGAGTCTTGTGAGGAGTTGTTTTGCTGTTTTGTTGACTGGAGCAAAACACTGTTTAAGAATTTTAGAGATCTCTCTGAATATTTTTTTTTAACTTTACTCAAGGGCCAGAACTGTGTGTGTGTAAATTTAGAAAACTCAGTCAGGGACGTCAAAAATCCTCATTACAGACATTAAATAATTCCTGGTGAGAAGTGTAATTCTAAAAGGTCAGTGCTACTTTCTTTGAAATAATCTGTTTGGAAGGATGTGATAAAATATCTCCTTGATACACAAAAAATTGAATAGATTTTTGAACATGTATATCTTTGGATATATCCTTTGGATGTGTCTTTCCTCTGCTCTGCACTGATGCAGCCTCACCTGGAGTTCTGTGTACAGTTTTGGGCACCATAATATAAGAAAGATATTAAGCTCTTAGAAAGCACCTGAAAGAGGGCCACAAAGATGGTGAAGGGCCTTGAGGGGAAGCTGTATGAGGATCAGCTGAGGTCACTTGGTCTGTTCAGCCTGGAGGAGACTGATGGGAGACCTCATTGCAGTCTACAACTTCCTTGTGAGGGGAAGAGAAGGTGCAGGCACTGATCTCTGTGGTGACCAGTGACAGGACTTGAGGGAACAGCATGAAGCTAAGTCGGGGAGGTTTAGGTTGGACATCAGGAATAAGTTCTTCATCCAAAAGAACTAGGTTCTTGGGTACTAGGACAGGCTCCCCAGGGAAGTGGTCACAGCACCAGGCCTGACAGAGTTCAAGAAGCATTTGGACAATGCTCTCAGGCACATGGTGTGATTCTTGGGTGTCCAACACAGGACCAGGAGTTGGACTCAATGATCCTGATTGAACCCTTCCAACTCTGCAAATTCTGTAATTCTATGAACCTGTGATAACTTTTAAAATGTAAATTATATCGAATGTGTACAAAAGAATCCTATTATCAATGTTTAGCGAGCTTGTAGGAAAAGCATTCTTCAATAAAGATAGTTTCTCTTCACTTACAGATATAACAAAAATCAGTTAATCCTAACAATGTGAGTACTTTGTAAAGATAAATCATTAAACAGAAGCACAGATATTCTTTAAGGATACATTTCAAAAGTGGTTCTGCCATAACTTCTGTATTTTGTTCTTTCTTTGTGTGAATAGTCATGCAAGTTCAGTGGGAACTTCAATAAAGAATTCTGTCTTTGATGTACAGTTCTTTAGTGCAACATTTAGTGTTCTATTTCTGTGCTTGTCAGGATAAATCCCCACCAAATACCTGAACCTAGTAATGACAAATTTATTTATTTGGTTTTCTAAAAGCTATAGGGCCAGCACTCTTTCTATTTAGACTGTTTAATGTATGAACTAGTACTTTGCAGAGTGTGGATGCTGGGCGTTTTCAGTTAGAGAGTCAGAAACTTGTAGCTCAAGTGAAGGAGATAATGTGCCAGAAAGAAGAATGAATTATGTAAAAAGCCTCAAGAACTCTAGTCAAGAGACAGATTTTGAAAATTAGTCTTGAATGACGGAATGGTAAAGGAAGTTGGAGTTCCAGAGTTCGCTACACTGTCAGAAAATACAATGTATTTTTTTAGTCCAAGTGATGGGGGTAAAGGCTGCATGCTTTTAGCAGGGAGCTTCTCAACTGTGATCCCTGTTCATAATTTTGAACTACAAAATGGGAATTAATTTCATGGGTCCATAACTCCTGTTATTTTGAGGTCAAAACAGAGTTCCTCTGAACATTGTATCCAGAATATCCAGGCTGTATTTCCTATGGTTATAAATGCAGACATTCAAAACTCTATATAATGTTGTTGAGAAAGGATAAGCAATTACCAGAGCTATAGTGGATAATGTGTCATAGGATTAATATTTGAATCATAGGATACTGCAAGTCAGAAAGGATCATCACTTCCCTGTTCAAAATGGGGGCAAACTAAAGGGCAAAGTGTAATAAATGAATGCATAACTTGAAGAAGTCATTTTTTTAAAATTGGTCTTAAAAAAAAGATGAGACTGACAAACAAACCTGAAGATGGTTCAGTCCTGAGAATTAGCTGCTATGATAGAATAAAATGGAGAGGACTGTGTGGTCAGAGAGTTCAGTGATGCTAGATTTTGAGGGCAAGAGTCTACTTAGTGCTAGTGAAGACAGAGTAGAAAGAGTTCAGTGTATTAATATTTGCAGCGCAAAAAAAATTGTGGCATGAGGAATGCAATAAAAACATAAGCTACCTACAGTCTGAAGCGAGATGTGTAGGTATATGGAACAACAAGTAGTTTTAAAATTATTTTTTCATATAGGTGTGCTTACTGGAGTTAAGATCAAAGCAACTTTTTTAATACAAAAATGACAAATAAAAGTGCTTTCTTCTAAATGTTTGCTGACAAATTGCCTAAGGGGTTTTTTTGGTCATTTTTGCAAACTCAAAGCTGTTCTGTGCTACAACTTATTTGGAATATGCTAATTCCTAGACTAGACATGAGCCTTTTGTAGCTGGAAGCTCCTATATTTTTCTTAGCTCTTTACACTCAAGTTGAGGGGAGATGGGTCATAGTCAAGTTGAAAGCCTTTTGTGGACATGTATGCATGAAATTATTAATGTATGTGTTTGCCTGCCACAGTGATACATGAATTGCAAATTAAGCTACAGAGGTGAAAGCTTTACTTTGGATTTTGATCCCCTGTTCCCCTAAGTAGGTTATCTAACAAACCTACACACATGATATCTAGTTCAACTCCTTCTAGGTAAAAATCAATCTTGTTGACATGAATATTTTACCTGACTGTTTGAACCTACATTCTCAGTGCTGAGAAAAATACTTTCATGACCTCCTTAAGATACATGCATTTACCAAGGGGATGGGCCCTGTTTCTGAAATATTTTACCTTTTTAGTGCAAATTAAGCTGAATCTATTGCGAGAAAAGTGTAAATACTGAACAAATTTTTAAACCACTGCTTCACTCCTTCCTTTGGATTACTAGAAAAATAAAAAAAAACCCCAAACCAGAAAACAGCATGTGCTTAGAAATGTAGCTCTTCAACATACACTTTATTAATGGATTTCAGCTTGTGGTGGTGGATTGTATGTATGTGTTGTTTGCAAGGCTGAGAGGGGATGGAGGAGTAGGTGTTAAATTGAATGACATCTCTGCCTGGTTACAATTTATTGTTCTCAGAACATATCTGGCCAGGAAGTAATCTAGTACAGTTAATTTTGTTGAGAGGATGAATTCAACTTTTTAAGCAGGAATGTGTCCAGTGTGACTAGGAGGTTTTTATTAGTTGTCCTGAAACATTCCTTTTCATACCTAAGTACTAGTTTTCGTGAGAAGCTCTGATGATACATTGATCTTTCATTCAAAAATTATTTTTTTTTAAAAAACTGCAAAACAAACCAACAGTAGTTACATGCTAGCATTAATTTCATAGAATCATAGAATAGATTGGGTTGGAAAAGACCTCCAAGATCATCAAGTCCAACCCCTGATCCAACTCCAATTACTATATCATGGCACTAAGGGTCACGTCCAATCTCTTTTTAAAAACCTCCAGGGATGGTGAATCCACCACCTCTCTGGGTAGGCCGTTCCAATGCCTGATAACCCTCTCTGTAAAGAATTTCTTCCTAACATCTAACCTAAACCTCCCCTGGCAGAGCTTGAGCCCATGTCCCCTTGTCCTCTTTCTTACAGAAATTTCTTTCAACTTTTACTCATGTAATTTGAAAGAATATTGTAGTGGTTTATTTGTTGAACTGTCTTTCATTGTACAGTCAGTAGCCAAACGGAAGAAAAATAGACGAAGAGAAACTCTCTGCAGTCACAATCACAAAAACAATTATGTAGAATCCAAATGACATAACTTTTTTTCATCTTTTAATTTTGTTTTCCAGAATGATAAATCCCCAGGCCGTTCCACAAGTCGATCAAGTAATATTTCAAAGGTATGTGGAATCTATTTCCTTTGCAGAGAATTTAAAGAAAACTAAGGTATCAAATATACTGTACTTTAATCCGCTTAACCATATATTCATTATGTAATATTTTCATTATAAAAATCAGATTTTAAATTTTTGTTGCTGAATATTATGCTTACCATGTAAACTTCATCATAAAGTATAAATGTACAATTAGTTTTTACTGTAATATGTGTAATAATAATAAGCAAATAACAAATGCAGTTTTTTCACCTGCTTTCCACAAGAGTTTAATGTTACGTTAACACTTTGGCTTATGATGGAATTACTGCTTGATTTTTCTCCCCCTGCCCTACCCAAATCATAACAGCTGTATTGTATAAAGCTATGTATCTGTCATCATTTTGGACTGAATTCTGAATTGCTTTTACAGGGATTTGTGGTTCACTGAAACCAGGACTTTACATCTAGATGCTTTTTGGTTTCTAGGAAATGAAGAAGGGAAACTTTAGGAAAGGCAAAATATGATTTATACTGGAGTTCTTTGGTTTTAACCCACTTTTTTCTGTATTTTTGGTTCAGATGTGGCTGAAATCTATGCCAAAAAGCCAGGATATACAGGAGGTAAAAGATAAAAACTCAATAACTGTTTGCATCCAAGCCTAAATATCTACCATGTATTATATTTGTATCTAAATATTTAATATTTTTCATTCAGTGCAAGCACAGTATCTTTAAAACTCTTCCCTACAATATTTTTGTCTGTGGGGTACACACTGTAAAACTCTTTTGTTCTTGGAGCCATAAAACCAAAAGACCGAACTGTGATTTTAATTAAAAATACTAGTTCTATGTTAGGTTCTGCTCTTTTACATTAAGAAGAGAATAAAAAAAAAGTCAGGGAAAAAGGTGTAGAATGTGGTATATTCTACAGCCTGTTATAGAATATGGCTAAATCTCTTTCAGACTCACTGTCTATTATTAAAAATTATATAGTTATAGAATTAAAAGCTTGATCACAGTGAATTGTATTTATTATTTTTTTAGGAGTTTTGAATGTATGTCTGTAATTACTGTAAGTCTATATTGACTTGCTATTACTTTTTCTCCTTTTTTAAAGTCAGATTTGTGGGTTACACTGTGACAAATCATAGATATAATCACTGACATGAGAAACATGGCCTTGAGTAGTATTTATTTTAACATGTTCTGCAGTAATCAGTATAGTTCCTTATTAGAACAGGACACTTGCACTGTTTTAAGTTGCACTCTTTCAGTGTTGCACTTAACCTTTTTCTGATGTATAGCATCATTCATTGTTTTGGATCAATTTTTCTATGTGAAGCTATCTGCCAATGGAGCTTTTCTAATGCTGAAAGACTTTTGATTGGAAATTCAGATTTGTTTGTTGTCCAGTGCTTTTTGTTTCCAAACGCTTTTTTTGGAAAACGGGAGGTTATGTATGTGTGTATACATGCAAAAGCAAACATCTGACCTTGCAGGTTAATATTGCATGGCAGAAAGCAAAATAACAAATACTGCACCTTAAAAAACAAAATTGAAAGTCAGGTAAACTATACATGAAAGGCAAGAGCTGTGTTCTGTGCAGTGTCAGCTCTTGCACACAGTAAAAATTTCAATGGACAGAAAAATTAGAAAGTATTTATCTAAAAATACAAATTAGAGTAATTAAAACATTGTCTTTTACTGCTTTCATTTGCCTGTATGAATAAGTTAAAAAGGTTTGGAGTTACATCTGTGTGTTGTGTATTCCACCCTTGGTTGTACGTGGAACTTCTGCCCCAAAGCAAAGTAAACGTTCCAGGATATCACTGGATTTTGTACCAACCTATTTTTGAAATTAGGTATAGCAAAGATTCTGCAAATACAGATTCATATTTCATAATTCTCTTAAGTTGTTTATTCAGAGAGGACACCTGAGGTTTGCAGTGTATGTTTGGGCAATTTTGCATGCTAGGTACATTAACTCTGCATTTTGTGCTATTACAAATTGAACTGAATTGTTGAACATTGAATATGTCTTATCTAGACATAATGAGAAGGAATAGCTTTGATTTGTTTGTTTTTCACCAGATGCTAGTTAGTATTTACCTATTCAATCTAGAGATTTTAGAACCAAACATTCCCTAGAGGAGTGGGGTATGTGTGTGGAAATCAACACTTCAGTTTTACTGTTCGCTTTTGCTGTCCATTGAGAGTGCAGAAATTCAGCATGTTGCAAAGACTTTTCTTACCTTGCATATAATTTTAACTACTTTAGGCAAATGAAAGGACAAACCTTAAAGTATTTAGATATGATTTCAATATGAAATTATTTGTAATAGATGTTTCTAAGTAAAAACAGTGTCTGTCCAGTATGTTTCTGAACATGTGCTATTATAAAATCAAGCTAACTAGAATATTTTAAAATTATTTTCATGTAACTATAAAATTGGGTAGCTCTAGTTGTGAAAGTTAATTTTTTTTTAGTGTCTATAATGGAGTATTTCATCAATATGGCAGGAGTATGGCAAAATGCTGCTCTTCCATTTGGTTAACTTGACTCAGTGCTTAATCAATTACAGTGGAAACTAAATGTAGGAGACCTATAGCTATACGCCTGTGGCCCTGCTGTGCCATGCCTACACCACTGTGGGCTCTGCTTTTTTCGCATAGGAGACAAAGGAGGGAGAAAGAGCATTTGCTCAAACGGATTGCTGATCCACATTTGTGTTCTCTTTCACCTATTGCAGTGAAATATTCCATTGGTGGGGTAACCACTGAATTAATTGCAGGTATTTGAAAGTAATGTGGCATTAATTTCTATCATTCTTCTGTACTGTACTCACTTCTGTCTACCTGTTTCCTGGTACTCCTGACTGACAGTCAGCTGTGGCTGTCTTCCCACCTGGGAATTCATGCATTCACCCCCTGTCTTTTATTTATTTGTATCAATAAAACTGCCCTGCAAATCCAAAACAACTGCTTCAGTTGGTTTTCCAAGGAAAGACAATTAGGAAAATGTATCAGTGTGTGATTTTTGCTACATTTTTGTTAATAACCTAGATCTTTCCTGTACAATCAATAAGTCAATAAGCAGGTCTTCTTGCTTTCTACCTTGCTAGCATTGGGATCATAAGAGACCATATTTTGGACTGACCAGTATTTCACACTACCTTGTATTGACAAAGTGTAGCAATAGTTACTAATTATGGCTTTCAAAACCTGTCTACTGTAATACACATAAAGGAAAACATAGAATTATTGGAAATGTGAGTTATGAACTAGCCTTACTGGTTTTAAATTATTATTATTTTTTCAGCATCAGACATTTTTTCCTACCCATTTCCTGTTGTGCTGGTAGAAGATCCAACTTTATTCTTCCTTGTAACAGATAGTCTTGTGCAGCGTTCTGAATTTCAGAATTGAAATTTTTCTACCTACACGTGTTTAAAATCTAAGTAAATTAAAAATTTGACTTGGTCATTACCTGTTCGCCATTGCTTAGTTCTGTGCACTGTAGATTTTTTCATTAAACTTCTTATGTCTTCCTAAATATGTATATAATTTAGGAGAAAAGCTAGTCAAAGGAGGATCTGGTTGATTCATGTTTTTTCTGTTGTGATTAACCAATGGAACAAATCTTGTGTTTGAATTACAGTCCATAGAGGTTATGCTTTATATGTGTATCTGAGGCTGCCTGGTTATGTTAAAATGATTTCTGGAAGAAATGTTTCTAAACATTGCAATTATCCTTCTGCATGTTAATTATGATTCAAGAGCTCTATAGAGAAGGATGCTTACTCAGCAGTAAGACTGGAAATTCTCTGATGGGAACTTTGGGCTTATTTTTCAATGCAGAGAAACTCAGGCTTGGAGCAAATTGCCTGATTTTTGTTTTGGCTCAATTACTTCTCAAAAGCCTGGAGCAGGTGTTAGAACACTTTTTCTTTACAAGTCTCTGAAGCATCCATCTAATAAAACTCTGTTGAGTTACATCAGGAAGTGAGGTGATTGTTTTGGATTATTATGTGTGATAATATTCACTGGTCTGATTTAGAATATGAATAACAATAGAGAAAAAACAGAAGGAAAGAATTATTTTTACAATATGTTTATGCAAGTTCTATACTGATTTCTTGTGTCGGGTTGTGGTTCTCTCAGTGAGATACAAACAAAAACCAAAAGGCCTGTCAAAGTAGTGCTAGCTAAAGTTCAAGATGAAGAATTTATTTTCAGTGTATTAACTGTTGATTTGAGCTACTCGGTTTCCGATTCTGAAACAAATTTCACAAACTGGATATCAAGTACTGTAATAAGTAATATGATATTTATCCTTTTGAATTATAAATTACCATCTAATTTCTTCCATTGGAATTGAACAATCACTTGGGTTTTGATATTCTCAAATTTTTCATCCTCTCTGAGTGAATGTATGAAGAGTCCTGTATTGCAGTTTGGATGATTTACACCACTTGAAGCAGAACTCACTTCTACACACTATACTTTTTTTAATGGGTATACTTGCCATCATGCCTTTGGAAGCAATACCAACAGAGAACGTGTAATATCTTCTGTCTGCATTATTGCAAATGCAAGCAAAAATGATAGGTTTTTTGGTGGAAAAAAACATAAAGGAACTTAAAGGTTCTTTTAAAATAAGTTTGTATCATGAATAGCCAGATAGAGGACTGCACTTTGATAGCCAGAAAGAGGATTGCAGCATTTCCAAGATACCTGTTGCATGATGGAATCCTAAAGAGCAATTGCGTGACCCCTTGCATTTTGCTACAGGGGACTGCACTGCTACAGGTTGCTCCATAGTTCTTATTGTTCTTTGCCAATTTCACACTAATAATAAATGAAAATTCTCTTCCATATTGGTGGTGGGTGGTTTTTTTTTTCAAGGAACCATGTAGCTCCATCCTTTCCAAGCATAGCTTTTAGATTACTGTAGTGTGTAACTGAGAAAACTTAGGGATTTCAAAAGAGAAAACAAACCAAGTAAAAAAACAACTCCTTGCGCT